GCAGGAGCGACTACAACTTCCAGAAGCCCCAGCAACAGGCAACTTCCGGTCTATGTGCCCGCCCCCATAGTAGGCGGGGCCTAGAGGCGTGTGGCTTGCTGGGCGCACCGCCCGCTCCCGGGCGCGTGACGCTTTTCCTGTGCGCCGCCTAGCGTCTCTGTCGCACCGGTTTCTTAGCTCAGAGCCGTGAAGGTGACAGTGGGAGGTGACCGGCCTGGGCCCCGCGATGCTGGCGGCACGGCGGCTGCTCGGCGGGTCGCTCCCCGTGCGGGTATCTGTGCGTTTCAGTGGCGACTCGGTGAGGCTCGGCCTGGCTTGGGTCTGGGGTGTCCGCGGGCCGGGTCTCGCCGCCACGAGCTGTTCCTCTGGTCTCTAGTGCTTTCTGCAGAGTGCTCCCCTTGTCCCCAAGCCCGGCAGGAAGGCTGCCGCTCCGGCCTGGTTGTAGAAGGGGAATGATCCCAAATGGGAAGCTAACGCTCCCGTCCGACTCCCTGGCTTCCCTTATTTAACAGCCCCTCGGCCTAGCGGGAAGTTTGGCAGGTTGGGAAGTGCCCTGGTCCGTTTTGCAGATGCGGAAAGCAGCTTTGGAGAGGCATGAGTACCTCCTGCCTCCCCCTCCAGTGCTCTGCTCCCTGTAGTGCCAGAGAAGCGCTTTTAAGTATACGGGAGTGGAAGTCAGGTCCTCTCCACTAGGTCACTGGGAGTCCCAGTCCCCACCTCTTGATTTTATCCCAAGAGGTCCCCCTGCACCCCCTTCGTGTCCCAGCCCCAGTGACGTACTTCTCTTCCATCAGCAAATACATTTTGCCTCTTTAGTAGGTTTAGTAAGATAAAGCCCCCTGCCCTAGTCAAGTGTTGGTCCATTCTGAGAGCCAGACAAATAAATCTTCTTTTGACTGTGTGACCTTCTATCAGTTCCTTTTGCTCTGAGCTCAGTTTCCTTCTCTGTAAAATGCAGGAAGTCATTCCTATCTCAGGACTGTTGTGAGGATGAATTGAGATTTGGGGACAAAATGGTTAGCCGTGTACCTGCTAAACAGGAAGTACTTGAGTAAGTGGTAGTGGTCCCTATGATGCTTCAAAGAGTTTGGGGCTTAGGCTTCTGCTCTCTCTCTGGTCTAGCCCTTCCTAAGCAGAGAACCCCAAGAATATGTAGCTTCTGACCCAAGCTCTCAGGGCCTCCTAACCCATTGTCTCCTCAGACAGCACCCAAGAAAACCTCATTTGGCTCACTGAAGGATGAAGACCGGATCTTCACCAACCTGTATGGCCGTCATGACTGGAGGTGAGGCAGTGAGTGCCCTTAGCTTGCTGGGTATCTTACCAGGGCTCTCCTTCACTGCCTTCCTCACTCTGTCCAGGCTGAAAGGTGCTCAGAGTCGAGGAGACTGGTACAAGACAAAGGAGATCTTGCTGAAGGGGCCGGACTGGATCCTGGGTGAGATCAAGACATCAGGCTTGCGAGGTCGCGGAGGTGCTGGTTTCCCCACTGGTCTCAAGTGGAGCTTCATGAACAAGCCCTCAGATGGCAGGTGTGTCGGGGAAGATGAGATAGGGTTGCAGGAGAGATCTAGGGATAGCTGGTTCTTGCCTGGGCTTTGACACTGTTTACATAGAAACGGTAGCACAACTCCCTGGCAATGGACAGAGACACCTCATTGTTGGTGTTGTTCTTAAATCAGTCAGGGGCAGAGCAGATGACAATCCTTTGTTCATCCTAGCTTGATGCCTGGGTTGGTGGCCAAAGCTGTTTCATGTCTAGGGCACATTAAGGAAACTGTTACACAAATGAGGTGAGAAAATGTCCCCAGACCATAAGTGAATAGGACTTAAGTCATCTCTGGATCCTTGGGGACTCCAGGTGTAGCAGAATCAATTTTTGATTCTTAGTTTTCAAATCCCAACTCTGCCTTCCAGTAGAGCTTTGAGAAATCTGACCTTTTTAAACTTCAAGTTTCTTTTCTACACATGGGTATTACGACATCATGCTGGAATTTGTTTAGTTTTCAGGCCATACTTTGGCACCCAGAGAACAAATAATACAAACTGCTTTACCTCCTTTTAGCCCTAGAGATGTGGAGGTTGAGGACGGCTTGTGTGATCACGAGCAGAATTTGGCTTTCAAGGGAAAACCCAGGGAGAGAGACATTGGGACTGAGCAGAACAGAGACCTTTGTTGTGGTCATCCCTGCCCAAAGATGGAATAGGCATTGGGCTCCCTATCATTGATGGCAAGCAAACAGAGCCCCAGGGAACATGTTGGGAGGGCAGAGAGGAATTGACTATTGGAAGAGGCATGGTTGAAGCCTCCCTGTGTAGAGCAGGGATGGCATATGGTTGAGGGCTTAGTCCTTGTGGGCCTGTGCAGCCTGACTGACCTGCGGGCCTTCACAGGCCCAAGTATCTGGTGGTGAACGCTGATGAGGGGGAGCCAGGCACCTGCAAGGACCGGGAGATCATGCGCCACGATCCTCACAAGCTGGTTGAAGGCTGCCTGGTGGGGGGCAGGGCCATGGGTGCCCGTGCTGCCTACATCTACATCCGTGGGGAATTCTACAATGAGGCCTCCAATCTGCAGGTGGGCTGGGGAGGGCACTGACACAGTGTGCACTCCCATCTCTCCTGCTCCATCCCCTGGCACAGCTGTTGTCAAGTAGCGCTAGTCTGTGGGGTCTAGCTGAGGGAAGTAGGGGTGGCCACTCCTGCATGCATCCCAAACAACCTGGCCTTGAAGCCTCCATCTCTGGGGTCTTCCTTTATGCTTCAGCACTTCAACTTAGGAAGCCTTTAAGAACTCATGGCCCTGGAATTTCAGGCTGACTCTTGAGGAGGGGTGGGCTAGAGAACTCATACCTTGTCCTGCAGGTGGCCATCCGAGAGGCCTATGAGGCAGGTCTGATTGGCAAGAATGCCTGTGGTTCTGGCTACGATTTTGATGTGTTCGTGGTGCGTGGAGCTGGGGCCTACATTTGTGGAGAGGAGACTGCGCTCATCGAGTCCATCGAGGGCAAGCAGGGCAAGCCTCGCCTGAAGCCCCCCTTCCCCGCGGACGTGGGTAAGACCCTTTACCTGACCCTGCATCTTGTCTTGGATGGGTCTTGTGAAATCCTGGTTCTGGCCACATGCCCCCTGGGTGGTTTTTGTGGTATTTCTGAGTGTTTTGTGGACAGGGGGCCAAATGGAGAGAAAAGGGTGGTAACAAAGTCCAGACCACCTGCAGTTCCTCAACTTGCCCCAGCTCCACATCAGACACCTGAGCCCCTCTGGGCTCTGCTCTGCCTTTGCAGTGCCCATTCTGGGAGCTAGAGATGTGATGGCAAACAGCTGAGGTCCAGCTGGTGGCAGTAGTGATAAGTGAGTGATAAGTGAGTGAAAGAGTAGGTTCTTTCTGCCACGGTAGCAAAACCTAAAACAGACTCTGCTTCAGGAAACCTGCCTGTACTCCCTGGCATCCCCTAGTCTTTTTTTTCATTTCCCTCCAGGAGTGTTTGGGTGCCCCACAACCGTGGCCAATGTAGAGACAGTGGCTGTGTCCCCCACCATCTGCCGTCGGGGGGGCTCTTGGTTTGCCAGCTTTGGCCGAGAACGCAATTCGGGTACCAAACTATTCAACATCTCTGGCCACGTCAACTACCCTTGTACTGTAGAGGAAGAGATGTCTGTGCCCCTGAAGGAGCTGATTGAGAAGCATGCTGGTGAGGCCAAGGGCAGCCAGGTGGGGGTGGAAAGTGGCAGGGGAGCCTCAAGAGCCAGGCTAGAACCTCGGGCTGACAAAGGTCCTGGCTTACCACTAGGCTGGTGTACCAGCCTCAGCCCTGATCATCCATCCTTTTGGGGACTGACTTGGGGCCCCAGGGGGTGTCACAGGTGGCTGGGACAACCTCCTTGCTGTGATCCCTGGCGGCTCATCCACCCCACTGATCCCCAAGTCTGTGTGTGAGACTGTGCTGATGGACTTTGATGCACTGGTGCAAGCACAGACGGGCCTGGGCACCGCTGCGGTGATTGTCATGGACCGCTCGGTAAGGGCAGCCCTTGAGTCCCACCCCCTCCTCTTCATGCAAACCTGGTTGCTGTCTCCCTTCCTGGGCCTTTCTTGGCTCCCAGTTCCTGCAGCCTAAGATGTCTTTGGGGGGGGAGGTGGGGAGCAAGGCTGATCCAGAGGAGAATACCCTAGATTTGGCTGATGTGGGGGCCCAGGGCAGCTGGATCCCAGAGGCAGGTGCTGCTGGAGATCTGAGGCCCAGGCACCTGCTTACTGCCCTTGTTTCCCAGACAGACATTGTGAAAGCTATCGCCCGCCTCATTGAGTTCTACAAGCACGAGAGCTGTGGCCAGTGCACCCCATGCCGCGAGGGTGAGCATTGGGTTGGTTGGGGTTGCCTCCACCCCCATGTGGCCTGCACTCTCTAGTACCATCCCACTCCCTGGCAGGGGAGACCAGTAGGCCCCTCTTTCTGCTTTGGCTGCAGGCGTGGACTGGATGAACAAGGTGATGGCCCGCTTTGTGAAGGGGGATGCTCGGCCAGCTGAGATCGACTCCTTGTGGGAGATCAGCAAGCAGATAGAGGGCCACACCATTTGTGCTCTGGGTGATGGGGCTGCCTGGCCTGTGCAGGTACACTCTCCGCCTAGCTGTGTGGCACTGGGGTGGGTGGCACTGAGAGCCCAGGGCATCGGGACACTTTTGAACCTAACTTCACAGGGTGCCTCCTCCCCCATCCAGGGTCTGATCCGGCACTTCCGGCCAGAGCTCGAGGATCGGATGCAGCGATTCGCCCAGCAGCACCAGGCCCGGCAGGCAGCTTCCTGAGTCCCAAACCCTGGCCTGCTGCCTTGCATCCCGATCTACAATGGTGGGCAATAAAGCAAGTGCCGCCCACTCTTCCATCACAGCTTGTCGATAACTTCGCTCTTCACCCTGCCACCCCCTGCTCACTTCTCAGGAAACTTGCTCCTGGAGAGGGTTATGCCCTCTCACCACCTTCCCACCTCGGGGTGGACCAGACTGCGAGGGCTGGGTCTGGCCCAGTTCAGGCCTCTGGAAGGTGGGAGACAAGAGAACACAGCCCAGTCTGCCCTGTAAGGTGTTGGCAGAGAAGGGGGTCCCATGATCAGAAGCAAATGTTTATTTTGGCTTCATGATTTGGGATGGGGGTGACTATGAAGAGTGGAGGGCAGGAATGGGTACAGCAGGTGAGGCAGCCCTGGAGCTCCTTGCAGCTCTGTCAGATGTGATGGTTGCTGTGAGGCGGGGTCACAAGCAGGGTCTTGCGCTGGCTAGTCACCAAGATAGGGGGGCGTGCCATCCAGTGGGTGCCACAGTTCCAGCCGGCGGTCACTGCGGCCCAGGCACTCATGCCAGTGGCGCAGGCATTCTCCACTTGCCTGGCCGCTCAGCTGTACTCCACCTACAGGACAGCATGGGTCAGGAGCCAACGGGCACAGTGGGGCACCCCCAGCACTCCACATTCCCACTCACCGATGAAGTCATCAGCTGTGCCCAGGTCGTAATCCCACACAGACACCAGCAGTACCTTCTGGGCCAGCTCCTCCCTTGGGCCTGCATAGAAGAATTCCTGTAGGGAAGGGAGCAGGAAGGAGGAGGGAGGGTCAGACCAGGGCATGGCTCAGCAGGTAAAGGCTAGGCTTGGCTGGAACCTGCCCCACCCTGGCTCACCTCATTGAACTCAGGGTTCAGGGTCTTCCTCCGAACACTGGTCTTATATTTAGACTTCTTACCCGAGTTTGGGTGCAGGAAACTGGTGGGGGAGATGGGAAGGTTTGGGGGTGGCCCTGGAGAGGAACCACCGCCTTCCCCTTCCTGCCCACCCATGTGCACTCACAGGCGGACAAAGGGGTCTGAGTAGCCATTAGCATCCATGGGGGCCAGGTGGGCACAGCGCAGCACGCCTACCAGCAGGCCTCCACGCTGGGAGCTGTAGCACAGGGACAGCAGGATGCGTCCACGCTCCTCCCCAGGCACTGTCTCCACCTCCTGTAGGTGCAGGCTGTCATTCTCTACCCAGCACAGAGCCCACCCGCAGCAGTGGCCACGGTCCTGGCTATGAGAGCTGACAGCTGAAGAGAAGTCAGGCCAATGCTGAATTCTGATCTCGTCTCCCCTATGGGCACTTGTCCTATGTCCTGGAAGGGATTTTAGGGGTCAGCTGAACTCGCCAGGGCCTGACAAGGGCATGGGCTTGCTGACCAGCCCTCCAGTATGTCATTGTCATGGGGAGGAAGGGAACTGATGGGCTCTGAGTGCCATGAACATGCCAGGGCTTCCTGCCTGGCCTCCAGCATGTGCTCCTAACTACTCTCTGCCAGAGCCAGCCCTTCACTGTGGCAGCAGCCCTGGGGGGGCTTCTCTCCACCCAGGAGAAACAGGTCTCAAACTGCAAAACCCACTCTCATCCCCCACTGCCCTGGGGACCCCTTGTCTCAGAGGATGCTCAGGAAATGTGTGCTTCATCTCCCATATGCAGTGTAGAATTCAACCAGAGATACAAACTACCTTACGGCAGGCAGTTCTCAGCAGCACAGCAGCTGCTGTACACCTGGGACAGGTGCGCATTGCCAGATGATCAGTGATGTCCACCACCTCCTTGCAGCCTTATCTGCCTGGGCTTAGTTTAGCAGCAGCTGCAACAACTGTGGCTCCACCAGGGGGCAGGGCACCAGCCCTTTGTTTGCAGAGGGGCAGTGGAGAGCCTGCTCTCAGCCTCAGAGGGGCCCTCCCCTGATGGGCCATGGGTATTCTGGTCAGGTTTTTGGTTTCAGGTGGGGTTGGAAAAGCCCTGAAGTCATCTTCACTGCATCCTGACAAGGTCCTGTCTAGGACAACCAGCCCCAGCATTGGTACCCACATTGATCCCAGGGATAGACCCAGCAGCCAGGAAGCCCAGCCCTTCAGCCTGGGCCACAATCAAATCCCACTACCTGCAGTGCTCCTGAGGTGTCCCAGGGCCCCCCACCTCTGCCAGGCTGCCCAGAGAGTCATCCTTACCCTGCCCAGCCATGAGGCCCTGGCTGCCTCCTGGGGCTTTGAGAACTCGCATAGCTTGTGAGAGAGCTGGCCTCAAATTCCTCCAAGCCACCTGGGCCCCAGCTCAGCCCACCTATCACCCTGCCTGACTCTCTTAAGCTTGGGCTGCCCAGGCCCACTCACCCTACCCCTGCCGGGTTCAGCTGTCCTACCCACCTCCTCATACAAGGACATTCCGCGGGCTGTGTCTAGGCTCTTTGGCCTCTTGGTCTGAAAGGGCAGAGAACCTGGTCACCTTGGCTGACACTGCCAGGTCCCTGCTTGTCTCCTCCCCTCTCTGTACCTGGCTCTGCAGCCCCACCGTGTGCTCCAACCCCACTCACCGGCCTCCGCTTCTCCAGGCAGATGTTGAAGCTCCTGGCTCGGTTGGGCGCCAGCTTCCTCAGGGGCACCCGCAGCTCCCCCAGAGGGAGTGCCCTCCGCCGTCGTCGTAGCCGTGGGTCCTCACACACACATAGCCTGGTGGCCGCCCCAGTCAAACCTGGCCACACAAGCCCCATCTGCCCGCCCTGCCTTCCTGGTAGCCCAGCTGGATCCTCACCTCAGGGTCTTGTGCCCAGCGTCCTGGCCGGTGAAGCCATGATAGGTGAGTGTCTCCTCCCAGATGGGTCCCCTGGTGCCCCGAACTGTGCGTGTCCGGAGCTGGCTAGCCTGGGAACCAGAAGATGGGTCAGGCCATCCACCTGCCCCCCCACCCCCGCCTCCTTGATCGCAGCAACTGGGATCTAGTCCTTTGGGTAGGGGCAAAGCAGGGCCAGGTGAATGCCCCAGGCTGGACCTACCATCTAAAGACCTAGGTCTCCCCCTCACCTTGCTGGACCCTGGCAGCAAATTGGCTTTAACATAGGTGTCCACAGAACCTGAGGTTGGTGGCTTGAGGCCCTGGGAAGAGACAGTGGATAAAGGGTAAACCTGTGGTTCTGCTCCCTATCTCAGCTTCCCCTCGCCCCCATCCTCACCTTGGCACAATGGGCTGTGCAGTGCAGAGCACTGTTCTCTGCGTCAAAGAGAAGCGTGAACTCCAGGGTGCCCAGGGCAGCTAAGGGCAGGTGGCAGGCAGGGTCAGTCCTCACTTCCACTCACCTGTACCCCATGGCAGGTGCCTCCTGCATGGCCTCTCCAAGGTGGATGCCAGGGACATCCCAGACTTCATCCTAGGGGGTGTCCCTCTTCCCCTCCCCTACTCACTGCTGTCGTCCGAGTCTCCCTCTGGGTCTGGGTCGGGCTGTAGCTGGGGTGAGGAGCGGATGGCAGGGACCAGGGCAGGGCGCGGGTCCGGGGTGCGCAGCACGGGCTCGGCAAAGGGGTAGAAGTGCGGGAAGTAGTCGGAAATGAGGCGGATGGGCCGGATGGGACCCGGGCTCACGTCGATGGCCATGTGCTCCTGCATGCTCACCCGCTGCGCCCGCCGCCCGCCCGCAGGCGCTGTGCCCGCCATGGGGGCTCGGACATGGGGGCGGGGCTCAGAGACTCTCCCGCAGACTCGGGGCGTGGGGATCGCACCCGACCCTGCACACAGAACGCAGAGGCATCCCGAAGCCTCCTAGAGGTCCTAGCACAGGGCGCAGGGTCCTGGGGTCAAGGGGGGCAGAGCTGGGGGGCTCCAGCCAGGAGGGCTTGGAGCGGAAACAGCCACCTGTCTCCTTACCCTTTGCGTCCTCTGACAAATGGATACCAGTTCTGGTCGCTGCAGCCGGGCGGGCGCCGGGGCGACAGAAACTGTGACTGAAGTGACCCATGTGAGCAAGAGTGTGACCTGGCAGGGGGAGGGGCTGTCAACCCCAGGGGTCCTTCCCTAGTGCTGGGGCTCAGCTTGCCCTCCTCTCGCTGCCCCTCCCTTCACACATTGTCAAAAGGGAGTTATTTTTACCACTGTCATGTGGTCCTGCTCCCAGGTGAGGAGGCTGGAGGGCCAGAGGTGACAAAAGGGGGGCGTGGGTGTCTGAGAAGTGGGGGACACATGGGAAGGAGGAGGTAGGTGAGAAGGGTAGGAGTTGAGTGGAGAGTGTGGAGGGAGGGAAAGTGGGGAGGAAGAGCGCGTGGGAATGGGGGAGTGGGATGGGGCAGCCACTGAGAAGTGGGATGCCGGGCTTGTGCTGGGAGGAGGAGCCGGTGTAGGGGAGGAGGAAGCCAGCTCAAGACCACCTCAACACTCCCCGCCCCTCCCAGCTTGGAATACAATCCTAACCCATCCTTGAGGCAGGGCCCCTTGTCATCTTACCAGGAAGTGTGTAGTGGTCTGTATGGGACCTCACCCTTGCCTCATCTCCACCTTGTCCTTCTTTCCTTCGAGCCCCCTCCACACCAGGCATTGCCTATGCAGCACCCAGCACCTTCTGTCCAGATTCCTGTCAGCCTTGGGTCCTCTGCAAGGGACTAACTTTAAATGACTGCCATCCTCTTCCCTCTTCTCCATGGTTATTTTTTAACTTTTGAGAAATAATAATTGTGGATATATCAAAACATCCCATTGTACCTCACAGATAAGCTTACGTTGTATAAAGACTCAATCAAGCTAGGGAACATATCCATCACTTTGATGACATCATATTTGGGAGGTAAGAACACTTAAAATCAACTTTTGAGCTTGCCAGGCAGGCACTCTACCACTTGAGTCACTCTGCCAGCCCTATTTTTGTGTAAGGTATTTTCCAGATAGGATCTCAAGAACCATTTCCCTGCGGCTGCCTCCTGAGTAGCTAGGATTACAGGGTGTAGAGCCCTGGCTCTACAATTGAGTCTTATAACAATGCATTAACTATGGTGGCTGCACTGTGCCCAGGTCACTAAAGCTCCTCCCTCCACTAACCAACACCTCCCCTTCCCATTCCCCTCTGCAGCCTCTGGTAACTACTGCCTCTGCTTCTATGAGTTTAACTTTCCCAGATTTCACATAAAAGTGAGTTTGTGCTGTATGTCTTTCTGTGCCTGGCTTATTTCACTTAGCATAATATCCTCCAGCTTCAGCTATGTTGCAAATTACAGAATTTTCTTTTTTTTTGAAACAAGGTCTCACTGTTGCCTTAGCTTCCCAAGTGCTGGGATTGCTGGTGTGTACCACCACACTTGGCTAAATTCCCTTCTTTTTAAAGGCTTAATAATATTCCATATCTATTTATCTATCTATATAACTATATATCTCACATTTTCTTTACCTGTTTATCAGTTGATAGACAAGTCGACTCCCTATCTTGGATGTTAAGAATACTTCTTCAGTGACCATGGTGTGCAGATGTCACATCGACATTCCTTTGGATATGTTCTTAGACATGGAATTTATATCCCCACTGATAATAGGTAAGGACTTTTTGTGTGTGTGTGTGTGTGCTAGAAATGGAAATAGAACTCAGGGCCTGGTGCATGCTGGGCAAATGCTCTAACACTGAGCTACATTCCCAGCCCTCTTTCATTTTTTTGGGAATAGCCATTCTAACAGGTGTGAGGTGACAACTCACTGTGGTTCTGCTGTGCATTTCCTTAATGACCATTTCTTTTCTCTCATTTCTGTTGGCCATTGTATGTCTTCTTTTGAGAAATGTCTGTTTAGGTCCTTTGCCTGTTTTTAAAATTGGGCTATTTGCTTTCTTGCTATCGAATCATGATATGGATATTAGCTCTTTATCAGATGAGGATTTAACAACTATTTCTCCCCACCTGTGGCTGTCTCTTTACTGTTGTCTCCTTTGCTGTGCAGGGTTTTTTTAGTTTGATGCAATCCCATTGGTCTATTTTTACTTTTGTTGCCTGTCCCAGGCCCTGTCATTCAATGTATTCTAAATCCAGCAGGCCATGTGATGGAATCCAGAAAGGACCCGTGACCAAGGCGGGCTAATGAAGTACAATTCCGAGTTAGACTGGCTGGGAAAAAGAAGCAGTTTACTTTTTGATGGGATGCTGGTGTGTGCCATCCTAGAGTTGTTGTCCTCTTCTCATCTCTAGCATCTCTGGACTACAGACAACCCCCTAAGAGTGGGGCCAGCACAGTGAAAAGAGAAAGGGAGACCCCCAAAGCTCCTGGATCCAGCCATGCCTGAAGCTAGTTATTGCTGGAGTGATTACCACTCTTCCTTAGGAAAAGTTAGTGTTTTCCACCATTGACCTGGCTGATACTGCCCAAGAAGTCTGCCCATATCACCCTGTCAAGGTCAGAACATCTCTCCCCTGCCACACCCACCCAGCAGCCCTCAACCTCTCCCAGACTCTGTCACGTTGTGGGTCTACATGATTGATATATAATTCCACTGCTGTGATTGATTAATGTACAGTCATTCTCAGTGTGACCTGGTTTAAGGTCTCCTCCAGACTGAACACCCACTCCTCCAGAGAGCAGGGCAGCATCTAGCAGGTCCACAGTTGTGCCTCCTCCCCCACAGCACCTGGAACACAGCAGAAGTTGTGTGTGTTGTTGTGGTAACAGCAGGGGTGGATGCACTATATTCTTGGCTGGAGTCCCAAAGCCCAACACAGGGTCAAGCCAGGAACAGAAGAGAGAATGGGAGATTCAGGCTGAGATACGTACAGCCTAACAGCAACAAGTCTGGGTTCCAGTCAGAGAGCCCCAGTTTAAACTCTTGAGCAAGGAATTTTCCCACCTTGAATTCCAATCTCACCAGGCAGGGAGAGCATGGAGGCAGAGCTGTTGAGGGTGAAACGAAATGACTGGCACACAGGAAATGCCCCTGCTGTGTGGAATGTGTAACTGGATGGTGGAGCCCCAGCCAGAGGCCTCAGGGGTGGCCCTAGGTCAGGGCCTCCACATGGAAGATATTAAAGCCCAGAGTTGTCAAAGATTTTATTCAGTCCCAGAGTAGCTTGGCAGGGCCTGTGTAGGGCCAGGTCTCAGCCACTCGGTAGCTTAGGACTGACAAGGTAGGACTTGTAGGTGCCAGGAGCCAGCAGCTGCAGGGTGAACTGGGTTATAACAGCTGTGAGCCCCCAGACCCGGTGTGGTCCATGCAGGAAGACCGGTAGTGTGTATCTGAAGTGGCCATCCTGGCAGAAGTGAGTATAGCCCTGGTTCTGTGTCTGCAGCAAGTGATCCAGAGACAGCACAAACACCTCATCCACCTATGGGCAGAAAGCAGAGAGAGGATGGACTGTGGACCAGCCACTGTGTCCTCTCTCAGTGGGGCAACCCAGTCCCTGGGTGTCCCCCTCCCCCACATTCACCTCCTCGGGGCTGGGCCTGAGGCTCTGTAGATCCAGTGGGCCCACGTTGGCAAGCACTGGTACCACGGTGGTCTTTCTCTAGGGTGAGAGCAGGGTGGGCAGTCAGGGGAGGCACAGACTTGGTGGGCTGTGAGATGGGGAGTCTGAGAGGAAGACCATGAGATCCAGAGGCCTTCAGTAGTCATGGCAGGCCCACCAGCCCTTGCCCTTGGCCTAATTCGTGAATCAGCCTTTAGGGCCTGGCTCAGCGCCCCAAATGCACTAGACCTGTTGTTCACACCTCTAAGCAAACTGTTGTTTTTGCTTAGAGCTTTTTTCCTTCCCCTATACTACCCTAAACTCACCCACTTGTCATTCAAGTCCAGAGTCCATGCCTGCCCGCCTTGTGAAGCCTTCCCTGACCCTTGGCTCATCCCTTCACGCCAGGGCCACAGTCACCACAGCTCCAGAGCCTCCTGTCTCCCCCAGGTGCTGTGAGGGAATAGGCAGCTGCCAGGTCACTCCTCCAAACTCTAAGACTGCAGGAGTCTGTGACCACTCTCTTTGTTCCTGGAGTCCCAGCCCAGGGCAGGCACAGAGTGAGTGATGGGGTTAGGGTGCCATGACTCACCTGGTCATGCACAGGCTGCAGGACACCCCACACCTGATCCTCAGGCACCATCAGGCCCAGCTCCTCCCGGGTCTCCCGCAAAGCCGTGTGCACCACGTCCTGGTCTGTGGGGTCACACTTGCCACCTGGGAAACTGAATGGGTACAGGGAGTCTGGTCCCTGGGCTCTTGGGGTCGTGGATAGATAGAGTGATAAGCAGTGGTAAAAGGCTAGTGACCTACTTAAGCGTCCTTTGCTTCTGCTTCTATGAGGCCTGACAAGTCACAGGACCTCAGGAGAACATTTACCTCCGGGGGCAATAAGGGAAAGGGAGAGAGACTGTGGGAGGTGCTGGACAGGACATAAGGATCTGGCAGCAGAGGTAAGATCTTGGGGCTCAGACACCCCAGTTCTGCCTATGGTGTCCCAGGGCTATGACATTGACCCAGGGTGTCCTCAGTTCTCTCTGGGGGAGGAGCCAAGGTGGGAGGGGAGCAGCCCTGCCCAGCGTCCGTCCTGGGCTCCGGGACCCGACTCTATTCTCCGCAGAAGCCGGTAGGGAGCGGAGCCATGCCTTTTTGGAAAGGTAAAAGTTCAGAGAGAAGGGTTAGTCCGAGGTGGCGAGCGCCGGGACGCCACCCGGAGAGGTGAGCCGGCGCGGAAGGACAAGGGTTGCTGAGTCCTCGCCGCAGCCGCGGGCGAACGGGTTCTTCCCAGACCCATTTCACAGAAGCGGAACCCGAGGCTCTGAGAGGCTGCTTGCCTTGCCCCTGGTCCCTGCCTCCCTGGGGCCTCCCGCGGAGGGGAGTTCCCGGCCGCTGTACCTGACGTCGCCCTTGTGCCTCCCGGCCAAGCGGCTGGAGCGCAGGGTGTAGAGCAGCGCGGGAACCCCGCGCACTAGGCACAGCGGCACGAGCACCGCGGCCGCCGCGGGCCGCGCGCGGAGCCGGGCGGTGGACTCTGCCAGCAGCCGCCGGCAGCGCCGCTCGCTCTCCGCGGACAGGCAGTCCGGCGGCATGTCTCGGGCAGCAGGGACCAGAAAGGCGCCGGCCGGCGAGGAAGGCAGGGCAGCGCGCTGGCGCCAGGGTCTGTCGCCCCCAGGCGGACGAAACAGAAGCCGGCCCGAGACGCCCCGCCCCGTGGGCAAGCAAAGGGGCTGCTGCAGGGCGGGGCCTCTGGCGGAACTGGGCGGGGCCGGAGGGCGGCGGGGAGGGGCCTGCGCGGGAGCCGGAAGCCGGCGATACAGTGAATTACGGCAGGGGGCGGGGCCTTAGAGGCAATAGGGTTGTGTTAGGGGCGTGGTCTGAGGCTGAATCTTCACAACACGGGATGGGGGCGTGACCTTGCGGCCAACTCGTGGGGGCGTTTCCGGAAGGGGCGTCGTTAGACAGACTGGGTTTCCGGTGGGGAGCTGCCCGCTAGGGGCGTGGCTTTCGAGGAAGGGCCCTAGAACGCGGCTGGCAGTCTGGAGTGTTTTGCCTGAACACCTGGATGGCCTGCCTGGGTCCTCCTGACCGCGGGGCTGTGGAGTTGGGGTGCATGGCTGTTCAGGGTCTGCCGGTTGGGTGCCCGTTCCTCCCTGGAGGGGCTCACAGGAAGAGCTCCGGAATGTGCCAAGTCGGATCCCCGGGGCGCCGTCTACAGGGGGCCGAGGACCGGGCGGCACGCGCCGCCTGCAGTCTTATTCCCTGAGACCTGTCCAGCCACAGGGCGCCCGGGCTCTTCCCTCCTCCTGAGGTCTTGATGGGATCCCCAAGTCTCTGCTTCCCTTCCTCTGGCCTCTGTGGTCACTTCCTAACCGTGGTTCTGCAACCTTCACCGAATCCTGGCCCCTCGAGGACCAGACGGCCAGCCTCGTGCACAGAACTTAAAGGTGGAATGGCAGGTGCTGTCCGTTCCCTGTGCTTTGCTGTGTGACTGAGCAGGGTCCGCGCCTCTCAGCCGCACTTTCGGCCCTCATATGGATGGGCTCACAAAGCAGGGAACCGGAACCCCAGCCTCCTTCACAGAGTTAAGTGCAGCTCTGTCATTTGGCTGGCGTCACCACGGAAACCGTCACTGTGTGCTCTTGGGGATGGAGGTGCCACCTGACCCAGCTTTTGGGATGCCTACTCCTACCGTCGATTTTGGGAGTTCTTGGACCCCTCCCTTTCCCCAGGACAGAAGGTGCTCTGACTACCCATGCCAAATGGTTTAATGTTGGGGGTGGGGAAGAGACAGGTGAAGCGAGGTTTGGAGGAGCCACCCCAGGGTAGGATTCACAGTTGCTGGGGTGGGAGGTGGGAGGCCTGGTTTCAAGCCTGGCATGGCCCTGGCCTTGCTGGACAGAGCAGGTAGCTTTCCTCTTAAGGACCAGCTGGCCTGTTGACCTTGTGAGAGGGGATCTCTGTAGGGGTGAGGCTGAAGGAGTCGGGGCAGAGGCTGATTCCTATTCTGGGTGAGGGGTCCAGGGTAGGAGGTCTTCCACAGCACGTCCGACATCACTGAGAGTCCTGGCTAGGTCCCAGGCATGTGGCAGTGGGGGACAGGAGCCCCAGCCCAGCTGGGAGAGTCAGGCCTCCCTGATCCCCATCACCACGGATGCTGGGGAGGGGGTATGGTGTGGGTCGGCCCCGTGGAATTCCAAGAGGGCTTGGGGCTCCAGGGTAAAGGCCCTGGTAAGTGAGGGGCCTGTAGGTGGCTGGGGCCAGCAGGGCTTCAGGAGAGGGTAACAGCTGATGATGGAGCCGGGCAGGGGTCTTGGAGGTGGAGGCTGAAGCTTTGTTGGGGTCTGAGAGGGAATGATCTGAGTGAACCCTAGGCTTGTTCTTACATCCTCAGTCCCCATCCCAGGCTGCCCCATGCCTTCCTGCCCCTCCTATCCCAAGTTGTCTCGTCTTGGCCTGTCTGAGCCTTCACTCTTGCTTCCTCTCTCTGCCTGGTCCCCCTGCCATTTGTTCAAACCCTTCCTGGTCCTTCCTGGTGGCTCTGGAGCCACCTCCTCCAGGAAGCTCACCTGGCAACGCAACCTCTGTTCTCACACCTCGTCCCTGTTCTGAGCCTCCTTTTGTCGTAGGAATCTCTGCCTCCTTGTGTCCACAGATGCCCAGTGGATTTGCTGAGCAGGCTGAAGCCCCTTCCTGGAGGCCCTGAAGCCCTACCCTCTGTATTTGGGCTTGGGCCTTACCTTTCTCCCGCTTGGTGGAGCCCCTCAGCAGGCAGGGAGCCAGACTGCTGCGACTTCGGGCTGGGATGCTGAGCAGGGGCCGTGAGGCCACCGGCCTGAAGATGGGGCAAGCAGGAATGGGGGCTGGGGTCAAGGGGAGGAGCCCTGGCCTGAGACCATGGTCAGCCAGGTGGTGGGACCCTAGGGCAAGTCAGAGGGCGTGACCTTGAAACAACATCAAGAGTGGAGGCCTTAGAAACTGCCTGGGGTAGGGTGCAGGGCTGGGGTTAGGGCAGCGGTAGACAGCAGGGGCCAGACCGTACCAGGAGTCCAGGTCACTCTCTCTAAAACCCTTGGCAAAAGGGTTGCTGGCGATTTTCAGCTGGGTGATCTACAGAAGAGAAAGTGCAGTTATGGACTGACCTGAGGCATCGAGGTCTGTGGGGTGCAGACTCAGTCATCCTGTCCCCCTTGAGCCCTCTGTCAGCAGTCCCCTTATCCCAGGAACTCCAGAGCCTGTGGGGATGTCCATCCGTGTGAGATGGGCTGGCAACTGGCCACTGTGAACTTGACCAACCCACCCGGTGGTTCTGATAGGCCGTCACAGCCGTGAACTGGGTCTCCGCGAAGACGAAGGACTTGAAGTTCTCCTGGGCGTAGCGAGCGCTGTCCTTGCGAGGGTCCACGAAGACCACGTGGAAACGGGGCTGGTAGCGGTGCATGGAGTTGAGGATTATCTGGGGGCGGGGTGTGGAGTGGTGGGCAGCAGTTGAGGGAGGCCACAGTGCACCCTCCCTGAGCCTGAAGCCCTTCTCCCGTGTCAGGAGACCCCCCTGAGCCCGCCTCCTCTGACTTCCTTTTTGTATTTTTTGGCGGTTCCAGAGATTGCATTCAGGACCTTGCGCTTGCTGGGCAGGCACTCTTCCACTCAGGCTACGCCCCCAGCCCCCACCTCCGCTCTCATGAATGGCAGAGCAGGGCTGAACTTGAGTCTGAGCATCCTTGTGTTCTCACCCCACAGCCCACCCGTAGCTTTACCTATCCTGTCATTTGTCGGTGTCACCACCGTTACCATTGCTGGAGCTCCTGGGGATGTAGACACCACCATACTTCCCAGAACCTATCCAGAATCTGACCACCTGTCCTACCCACTGCCTCACTGCCACCCAGCCAGTCACCAGTCATATCTTTCACCTGAGTCCTCAGCTACTGCTGCCTCCAGCTCACCCCTCTGCCCTCTGCCTGTTCTCCTCACAGCAGTCCTGGCAAGACACATCACATAGTTCCTGCTCCAGACCCTCCTGGGCTCCCACCCCACCGTGAGGAAAAGCCAGTGTCCTCCAGCAGCCCTGGCCATGGCTTTCTTCTTTGCCATCCTCTCCTTGCTCCACTCTAACCACATGAGGACTCCTTGTAGTTCCCCTGACTCACCCCACACTCTGGCCTCAGGGCCTTTGCACTTTCTGTCCCCTGGCTCTCTCATATGCACTATCCACTTCTTTCTGATCTCTGTTCAAATATGGCTTCATTGGGTCCATCTCTGCCCCTTCCCTGGTTCCTTTCCTTGCCATTTATCACTGTCTGTGACCACATACCAGTGTTTGCTGGATTCCTATTTTGCCATCTGTCTCCAGCCCCACCAGGCAGAGATGTTTGTTTCATGAAGTGTCAGCAGCACTGTTTTCCAGCACTGTGACAGACCCGGCCTGTGCTAGACACTCCATACACTTATCCTCTCCCTAGTGAGGACCGTATCTGCTGGAACTTTATCCTGCCCACAACCCTCTTCCCCACAACCTGGTCAGTGCTTTGTGTTATCTAACCCCCAGCTTAGTGAGTTCACCACCTCCCCCACAGCCTTGGCTGTCAGCAGCAGGCACCAAGACCATTGGGCACTGCAGGCCTGGCTCCAGGCTTCAGCAGAGTCAGGTCCAGGCCCCTATGCCTGGTTGGTCCATCTCCCACTGTGGCCTGGGGACTCACGTGGCCATTGTCATCCAGCAAGTTGTTGGTCAGCTTGAGCTTGTCAAAGGACACGATCTGACGCATCCACTGGGCGCCCTTGGCCGGTGAGTCTGGGTGGAAGTGCACACGGCCAGGTGTAGCAGGGTCAGCCTTGCCTGCTACCAGCCAGGCCGAGCTGTGGAAGGCATACCTGGGAAGCAGAGGAAGGTGTCAGGGCTGCTCCCACCCAGAGCCAAGCCTGACCAAGGCTGGTGGGTGAAGAGGCTGCAACTGACCCATCACTGATCACTGGTCTGGTACACATCTTTTGGGGTTTTTTGTTTTGGTGCTGGAGATCAAAGTCAGGGACTCATGCATGCTCCATCCCAGCCCCATGGTGGGCATCTTTTAGATGGCAAAATGAGGCTGAGAGAACACCGTTGGTTGGGCCCTGGGTTCCCTGTGACTGCACCTGGCTTGTCTTGAGCTAGACCACCCTGCCTGCCACAGGCTAGCCTTTTGCCTAAGCTGGGCTCCCTCCTGCCATCAGGTTATTGCCCCAGAATGGACCTCCCTGGCATTGCCCTGGAAGTGGGAGGTCCAGTTCCTGGTCTCAGCACCCCAGGTGTGAGCCTGCTCCCCTGGCCTGCCCCAGACCTGTATCTCTTGTCATCCAGTGGGATGAAGTCCATGAGCAGGGCGTAGTCAGCCAGCGTGTCCAAGCCCAGAATCTTCACCTGGAAGGTGGGGAACATTCTCCTGCAAGAGGGAAGAGGCTCTCAGCAATCTGCGCTGGCCCCGGACCTGGCCCACGCCCTGCTCCACTGCCCAGGGCCACACCTGCCTGCCTTGGTCACAATCATCTCAGTGCCCAGCTGGTTGAATTCTTCCCATAGAGGCTTCATCTCCAGTTGAACTGTCACGCCGGACACACGTGGGTTCTTGGGGCCCTGTCCAGTGGGCTCGGCCACAGCTTGGGCCTCTGCTGAGGTGGTGCAGAGTCCTGACGGGAACGGTGTCTGCAGCTGGGGCTCCCAGCTGGAGCTGGGCACGGGCAGGGAGTAGGTCTCCGAGGGTGCAGGTACACTGAGGCCAGCAGACAGGAACGCTGGGGAGAGAAGATGAAAGTGTGGGCCCCAGTTGCCTCACCCACCCATGCTTATCACCCAGCCAGTCATCACCCTGCATGAGGCACCCATGTGCTGCTTCCACCAGGAATCCCTGCCTGCCCAGCAGGCCTGTGCTCCCATTGTCCCTCAGGCAGCATCACTCTGTGAGGTCCATGTCCACTTAAAAAGTTTTTCCCAGCAAACTTCTGGAGGGTGGAGACAGGGCCCATCTTTTTTTCTTTTTTTTTTTTTTTTTGGCGGTACTGGGGTTTGAACTGTGGGCCTTGAGCTTGCTAGGCAAGTGCTCTACCACTTGAGCCACACCCCAGCCCTTTAATGGTTTAGTTCATTTCAGACAGGGTTTCGAATTTTTTCCTGGGGCCAGCCTTGGACCGTGATTCTATGTATGTAATTAGAATCACAGGCACACAACACCACACCTAGCTTATTTGTTGAGATGGGGTCTCAATCCTCCTATCTCTACCTCCTGAGGAGCTGGGATTACAGGTGTGAGCCACCATGCCTGGCCTCAGCAAGGAATTTTTGAGTCAACTATGGTCTTAGGTAAATCGTTTCACTTCCTGGAGCCTCAGTTTCCCCATCTGTTACAGGGGTTCTTAAGATCCTCCTGATAGGACTAGTGTGAGGATTGGTAACGACACAGGCCTGGTGCACAGTAGGCCTTTCATAAGTGACAACTGTTTGTTATAAGTGAGGTTTCAGGGAGAGGGTGGGGTCTTTCCAAGCTCTGAGGAGACCCCACCACCACCTGAGGCTGCTGAAATAGAGCAGGGTTGAGGGGAGACCCCAGTCCACAGTAATCATCAACCCAGACCCTGAAACCTGCCCAGATCCTGCCGCTGGAAACCCATTCTAACCCTTGTGCTCTTCTCTCATTTTCCCTACAGACATGGGTCTTTCCATCAGCAATACAAGCAATGGCCAAAAGCTTGGCCATCGTCACCCCTCAATTTAAAAAAATAATGCTAACCTCAATAAAATATCATTCATATCCATTACGAGGGTATGAGAAAAAAAAAAAAAAGAAAGAAAACCAGAGATCAGAAAAGCCCTGGTGAGGATGGGGAGAAACTGGAACACTTGTGTACTGTGGGTGGGAAGGGAAAATGTGCAGCAGCTATGGAAACAGTTTGGCAGATCCTCAAAACAGAATTACAAGATGACCCAGCAAGAATTGAAAGCAGGATCCTAAACAAAGATATTTTACACCCATGTTCATGGCATTATTTGCAATAACTAAAATGTACAAAGCAATATAAGTGCTCACTGACAGACAAGTGCATAGGTAAAATGTGGAGTAGATACACAATGGAATATTATTTACTCTTCAAAAGGCAGGACATTCTGACACTTGCTGAAACATGAAGGAACCCTGAGGACATTTTGCTAAGAGAAATAAGCCAGGCAGAAAAGGACAAATGAATGCTGTACCTTGGGACTCATGAGCGGTACCTAGGGAGGTCAAATCTATAGAAGCAGAAAGTAGAATGGTGGTTGCCGGGGCTGGGAGAGGAATAGAGGCGTGGTTTAGCGGGGCATGGTTTCAGTTTTGCAAGATGCAAGAAGATTCTGGAGAAGGATGGTGTTGATGAGTGTCCCAGGATGTGACTGTACTAACTTTTATACCTAATGTCCAATGGTTAAAAATGAACTGGGGGCGTGTCTCAAGTGGAAGGCTTTGCCTGATTAGCAAATGCAAGACCCTGAGTTCAAACCCCAGTATCAAAAAAAAAAAAAAACAGTTAAAATGGTACAATTTATGCTAAATGTGATTTACAACTAAAAATTTTAAAATGGAAAAGAACTCTGAAAACCATAGTGATAACTTTGTAGCAGCCCCACAAAAGGCTGAGGACCTGGTGGAACCATAGCCATGGGGTCCAGGAGTCAGGGGACAAGGTTTCCATTCCCAGCAGTCCCCGGGCAAGTGTCTGTGGGATACATGCTCAATGGAAAGATCATGGGATCCCCTGAGCAGCGGGGAATGCTGGGTGTTGGACAGATGGACGGATGAGTGAAGGAAGAATCCCAGGGAGGCCCCTAACGCTGGGGCGGGCACTTGGTGGGAACCTGTAGCGTGTGTGGGGCCCAGGGCTCCGCCATGTCTCCAGTAGCCCTGAGACCCACCATGAGGACTGGTTCTTCCCTAAGGCCCCTGGGTTTGCTGTAGTCTGGAGGGTGGAGGGTCTCTGAGAGGGAGGGGTGACGCCAGTGTGAGGAGCCTGGGACAGAAGGGTTGGATGGGCTGATTTCCTCCACTACCTAGGGCCAGCTCATCAGAGGGGCATCTGCCCCTTAATCAGCTGCCTGCAGGGTGGGGAGACCTCACCAGTCCCCAGGGGCAGGGGAGACGGGTCCCAAGAGATAAGGACTCTGGCCTCCCTGCATCTGGGACTTTGTAGGTGGTCACTGGCCTCAGGTCTTCTAGAAGCTCAGCCCCTGCTCTTTCTAGTCCATGTATTGCTGTTATAGGAACTCTGGGGGGTGGGGAGAGTCCACCCTCTGCTCTGTCACTCTAGAAGCCAGGTTAGAGGTCCCTTGTCCAGCCCCTACTGATGCTCAAGTGACTGCTACCCAGAGAGGACAAGGGACAGGCACAAGGTCATACATGCCTGAAGAGGCTCTCATCTCCCAGAAGTGGCTGGGTCCCTCTGCCTCTCTTAACCCCCATAACTGCACCTCAGAGGCTGTGAGTCCATCCATCAGCCCTGTACAGTGGGACCCAAGACGCAGCCTGGGTATTCAGGAATCCACCCCCTTCCCACCTTCTTACCCAGGCCCTGGTCCCTGTCCTGCCCCACTCACCCTAGAGCCTGAGCTCACCCATGAGGCCACCTCCCATGCCCATACCATACCTGCCATGGGGACGGCTGGATGCCTGGCTCCTGGAGAAACCCTCAAAGCTGGGACTAGGTTGCAGCCGCCACCCAAGGTGCCCCCTCTGCAGGGAGGGATGCACAGCCGCTCCTGATCGTGAGTCCACTCAGCACCACGGCTCAGCTCTTGGGCACGCACGGTCACCAGCGTCTGCAGGATTGTCCCCTCCTGGATATCTCTCTGTCCACATCCCCTGGCTAAGGTTCTCCCCCAAAGCTGAGCACCTAGTCTCCGTGGGCAAGGCTCTGGATCTGGGGTGTGTGTGGGCTCTTCCAAGCCACCTTCTGACTATAGTGTCTGGGTTTGGGTCACCAGCTGGGCTTGTCCAGCTCCAGGGGCGGGCACATTCAGGAAGGGGGCAGGTGGGAAGGTTCTGACGTTGCAAATCCCCCTCTGTCCTCTCCCAGTCCTCCCTCCCCAACTCCCTCCCTTCCCCTGCTAAGAGCCCCCCAGCCATTCCTGATCAATGGGCCCAGGCGCAGGTGGGGGTGGGGTGCCCATCTTGCAGACAGGCTGGTGTGTCCACAGGGGCCCAGGCCTGGCTGGCTGGAGGGGCTGGGGCCTCGGGGAGATTGGGAGGCCACAGTGGAGCAGCAGCTGAGGGCTGAATGGCAGAGGCGGCACTCCCCCCTCTTCCAGGTCCCAGACCCCTGGCCTGCTATAGGGCAGTGAGGGGAGGTCTTTAAGCAGGAAATATAAGGGGACTGCAGCAGAGAGTGTGGCACATAAGAACCCCCAGACTGGGTGGGATGAAGTTCCGGTCCTCTGACAGCTTAGCCCCACGAGCTGGACAATACAAGAAGGTCACTGGAAGTCCCTGTGCCTCAGTTTCCCTAACTGACCTCAGTACATAGTCTTTCTGCCTGGGATGGTCCTGCCTGGTCTGGAGCAGTAAGCTCTCTGTGTCTGGAGCCAGGGGCAGTGCCCTAGGGTCATGGTTTCCCTGGGGTCCTCATCAGGGTGTGAATGGAGACACTTGGGTTGGCCTGCCTCAGAGACAGTTGGGTAGGTGCCTTCTCAGCCTGAGTGAGTACCTTCTCTGGGCCTCCCCCACCTGTCTTGGCTCAGAAGCATCATCGCCATTCGGGAAGACAGAGGAGTGGGTTTGCCCTAGGACAGCGCCAGTCCTTTGACTGAGGGTGCATTTTGTCCAGTGGGTCTGTGCCAAGTGGCCCAGAGTGGGTCACCTGGCTGGACTCCTAGTTTATAGTCCACCCCAAGAGGGAAAACCCCAGGCATTCCCCCAGAGTCTACTGCCAGCATGTCAGGTTGATAGAGACTACGATTCCTGGCAGGGGCATGCAGGAGCAGGAGCTAAGGGGGAGGGTCTGCTTCTCTCTTAGTGTGACCTCAGACCTGCCCCTCAGGGATGCCAACTGGCTCAGTCCCCTGCACCTGCAGAACTGGTTGTTGTTGGGTTTCGAGACAGTGTGTATGACCCCGCAAGAAGAGTTAGAGGGCAGGGAAGGCATGTGCCTTCAGACCCCCACACAGATGTGTGAATGGTGCTGCCGTCAACTCTGGGGCTTGAGGTCAGGCAAGATGAGGGGTGCTCTGTGCAAGATGGAGGGTCCTAGCAGTCACCAGTCAAGTGTGGCCATACTACCCTGTCCCAGTGTGGTAGATGGGGAAAAGGAGAGATGGAGACTTGGGGGGGCTCCTCTATCCTAGATGACTCCCAGGAGCAGAGCGCACATGGGGTTTTGTTAGCTTCTGACATGTGTGTGCACACCTTTGAACCGTGTGATGATGGGGAAAAAACTCCACACCCACACGAGCACACTGATACACCAGCACACATGCCCATTGACTGGCCACCATGGGGGGTGCACACATCTGATCTCCTGTATACACAGAATCACCACACAGACACAGGGTGTGCACAGACACACACACACACACACGCACGCACACACACACACACACATACACACACCCCACAAGCATACCTTCCTGCACGTACATTCCCACCCTGGTTAGCCTGCCCTTCCTGCCGGAGGCACCTCCTGGCCCCCTGCCCCCTCATCCATCTTGCCTGCCAGCCTGTCCCTGGTGCCCCTGTTTTCTTCACACCTTCTCATCTCACCGCTCAATACCAGGAGGCAGTGTGGCAGCCTTGGCCGCAGGGAGATGAATGGGCCAGGTGGGGGCTGCAGAGGCCCAGGGAGTAAGGCTACAAGAAGACAGAGTGATGGCTCCAGCATCCCCGCCTGCCCAGCCAAGCCTGAGCGGGATTCATTTCAGGGGGGTGTGGGCAGGAGGAGGTAGGGCTCCAGCCAGACCCCATTTTTCCATCCTTGTGCTGCTGTAGACTGAGGGGATCCCAGCAGTGGGCCCCCTGCTGGCTCCCTCCCTGACACCAGCATGGGGGATCTGTGGTGGCAGAGGTCTTGAGGTGCTGTAGGGAACCTCAGCTTTCCTATTAGGACTTCTCTCTGCCCCACCCCAAGGTGCCTTCTCCCAGTACCTCCACAGCTGGACAGCTGTCCTGGGTGTACCCTTCCCCCCAGCCTGACTCCCCCTATGCCGCCACCTGTAACGCCACCTGGAAATGCACATCTGGGCCATGTGCCCAACTGCATACAGATCCATCTAGAACGCCCAAGATGCACTTGGGAAAACACACACACACACACACACAACCCAAAGAGCACATGTGTGTGCACATACATGGTTACATGTCTCTGCTCTCCCCACACTCACCCTCTGGCCTAGGACTGTAGGGTGACTGGGGGCCTCTCTGGGTTGTGGGCTATTCTGGAAGCCCCTCTCTAGTTCCTCCTCCATACTGTGGGATCTTCCCCCAGGCACATGTGGACAACTGAACACACAGCATGTAAAGGCCAAACCTGTCCTGGATCCTGTGCTCAGCCCTCCCTTCTTCCATCCACTTCCCTAATCAGAGAGAGGCCACGTGAGACAAAGGACAGGAAGCATGGCTCCCTGGGCATTTTCCATTTTATAGCATGGGAAACTGAGACCTGAGGTTGGGGCCTGGCAAGGAACATGGTGCACAGAGAAGGCAAAGGGATCCTGGCTCGGAACTGTGCCTCAGGACCCACTGTTCAGATGGGGAGCTGCGGCAGGGGAGGTGGGCCTTGGGTTAAAGAGCCAGGGTGGAGGCAGAGGTCAGCGCAGACAAGGCGGGCACAGAGATCGTGATTTTCTCAGACTTCATGAAGGCCAAGTGCTTCTCATAATAGGCAGCCTCATTAATGAACAAGGGGAAAACAGTGGAGTCTCCCTCATAGAGCACGTCCTCACCATTGAATAATTTGAAGATGGGCGCACCAGGCTTCAGTGGCTCCAAGTCTTGGTCCTGGGAAGAGCCAAGGTCAAGGTTACTGGGGTTGTGACCTTTGCCCTGGACTAGGGAGAAAGGTCTTTTTCCTGGGCAGCCACTGTTGAGGAGTCCCTCCACAGGCACCTCTGTGGTCCCCAGTGCCAGGCCTGAGTAAGGGGGCTCCAGGGAAGACAGCAGGGGCGGAGTTGGGGACTGCAGCCAGCCTCCTGTCCTGCTCCCGATCCTGATTTTGCTGGGAGCCCTGCGGGAGGCTTTTTCCCTCCCTCTGGGCCCGTTTTACCTGACACCCCCAAATTTGTATCCTCAGACTTCCCCACCCAACACCAACCTGTAGCTGGGGATGTATGGTGCCAGCCAGGGCCCCATCCTCCGTGAGGGGAAAGTTTACCCTGTCCAAGGTCTTGTATATTTCCATGTCAAAGGCAGGAAAGGCCGTGCCTGTGGCGGAGACTGGGTGTCAGAGCCTGTGCCTCACTCCCAGTTCCTTGGTGCCAGCTCTCACCTCTGGACCTGTTTCCCACAAACATTGCGGGGTCTCACCCTGGTTGAAGAGTTCGATAAAGTCCATGGCAGAGATCACCAGGGCTCTCATCTGGGAGTAAATGTCGGCCCGCAGCACCCCCTGAGGCTGGGGGCCCAGCTCCAGGGCTGGGGACAGGGAGGGGAAGGGTCAAGCTGGCATTCCAGGGGGTTGCGGGCACCAGGCCTCAGAACCTCCCCACCTGCCACCCGCTCTCTGGGAGGCCCCTCCCCTAACTCCGCCCCCGACCCCACCCCTCATCCGGCCCCTCCCCTCTTCCCTGCTGGCCCCGCCCACTTCTCCAGAGCTCTTGGCCCACTCAGTCCATTCTTGGCCACTGAGTCCAAGCCCAAAGACTCCTTCCTGGAAAACAGGTACTGAAAGACGCAGCAGGACAGGTCAGGATTCTGCAGCTGCGGGTGAGGCAGGCAGGTCAGTGCTCCAGGCCTACTTTAAAGGGGAAACTGAGGCAGGGAAGAGAAGTGTGCAGGAAGCCCAGGTTGCCATCCACTCTGGCCCCCTCTCTAATGGGAATTCCAGAAGGCCAGGCAGAGGTAGCACTGCCATTGCCCCTCCCCTACTCCTCTCTCCACCCTCTGGGAACTGTGTCAGGGAACCCCGGCCACCTTTAGGTAGTGGCACAAGTGCAGGGTAAAGATGCTATAGGAGCTTTCCAAGATGAGGCAGGCGCCCATGTTGGCCGTGGTGTTGTGCAGGTCGAGGAGAAAGTCGAAGGCCTGGTCTGAAGATTTGGGCCCCACCAGCTGGTTCAGCTCTCGGGCTCTTCTCACCTCATATGGATCATCCGGGGTGGCCTTGGAACTGTGGGGGTAGGAACAAGGGACACCAGCCCCCAGTGTGTCAATGGGTCTCCAGTAGTTTAAATGTAGGAGGGTCAGCCTCACACTGCTGGCGAGAGGCCCTTCCTTCAGCTCGTGTGGCTGTGCCTGCTCTGTGCACCGTGGTCATTGGCTCCCCACTTCCCCATAAGGTCCCAGCCCTGAGCTCAACCCTGCCTGCCTGCTGTCATTCCAGACACACTTCCCAGACACCATGCTGGTCTCACTGTCAGGCCTTTGCACTGGAAATCCCTTCTCTCCTTGTCTCACCTGGCTAACTTCTACTCATCTTTTGGGGCTTGGCTGAGGCACCCACCTCCTCCCTGACTGCTCTTGGCCAGGTTGGATCCTTTTTTTTTTGGTGGTACTGGGGTTTGAACTCAGGGCTTCCTGCTTGCAAGCAAGTGCTCTACCACTTGAGCCACTCCACCAACCTTTTTGTATGTGTGTTGGGTATTTTGGAGATAGGGTCTCATGAACTATTTGCCTGGGGCTGGCTTTGAATTGCAATCCTCCTGATCTCTGCCTCCTGAGTAGCTAGGATTACTGGTGTGAGCCATCCGCACCAGCTCAGTTTGGATGCTTTATGTAACCCTACACACCTGCATTTGCCTGCTGGTTTCTTCCTCTGTGTCCCAATAAGCTGAGACTATACCTTGGTCTTATTTTCCAGTCTCTCACTCCAGCTGGCCAGAGCCTGGCCTGGGGCTCAGTGAACACCCATGATAAAGAGGCATGAACAGTAGTTGGGGCACAGGACAGGTAAACCTGGCCTGTGAGGCTGATCTGAAGGAAGCTCTGGATCTGGGATACCCAGAGGGCCCCTGGTCCAGCTTGCAGTCAGAAAGGGCTTCCTGGAGGTGGTGACATTGATGTGGATTTCTCTAAGGGGCAGAGGTTAGTGAGAGCAAAGGGGAGGCTTTTGGTGAAGATACAGCACCTGCTATGGGCTGGGTGAACTGGCACTCACTTGAGTATGGTGCTGGTGAAGGCGCGGTTGAGGTCATAGTCAATGTAGCGACAACAGGTAGCTACAGCTTCAGGGTTGGCCAGGACAGGCATGGCAGAGAAGCTGGGTCTCTGTAGCTCCCTTGGGTCCTGTAGCCAGTGCTGGACCAGGTAGACACCAGACATCTCATTGCCGTGGGTGCCCCCAGTCACAACCACACGGCGCAGAGGCTTCTGGGACATAGGTGATGAGTACATTCCAGTGAGGCCTGTGGTACCTGGCAGATGGACACACACAGAAGACCTGGCACAGAAGCAGTACCCAGAGCCAGGGTGGTGTCTGTGAGCTCCCTGGAACCCAGGAGTCCAAGCTGGCAGGGTGGCTGCTTGTCAAGTTGGATGGTGGCACCAACTGTGTCCCACACCCCTGGAGGCCCAGATCAAGGTACCCCTGGCCTAAACTTTGTCCCACATGGTACCTGAACCCTTCTCTGGAACCTTCCTGAGTGAGCGTTGCCCTTCCCGCCTTTCTTTAAGGAGCTGGTTTTCTTTCTCCTTCTGGGGGAAGTTTCTTTCTCCTGTACTGAGAAGAGGGGTCCAGACCTTCAGAGGCAGGGACTCACCCAGGCACATTCTCCTAAGAGAAGGACTGTGCTTCCATTTTCCAGAAGGAAAGCCAAGGTCCAGCACAAGGAGTGAAGAGTGTTGCACCAGTTAGCTGTGGACTGTCTGGGTTCTGTGACCCCTATGTCCTCCTGTCCCTCTGTGTGCTCCTCTGAGCTGGCGTGGGATCTTACCTGCCTGGACCAGGGGCTATAGTGTCAGCTTCCTAGGCTGGCAGTATTTATGGGCCTGGAGAGCCCTCAGCAGGAAGTGTTTGTGCCGAGTTGGCAGAGAGCAGAGGGCGGGGATGGGGGGAACGGGCTGAGGTCCATGCAGCCAAAGGTCACAGTGCTGGGGTCTCCCCCCTTGCCAAGATCCACCCCATGCTGCCACCATCTAATGGTCCAGGTGCTGCAGGCAGGCTCTTGTTCTTACCCTCTGTCCCCACCTCCCAGGACCACTAAGGACTCCTGCTGGGGAGCTGCACATGGCATTGGAAAATTCCTTGACCTGGGACAATGACCGTCCCATGAAAGGCTTTGGCTTTTCTCACTGCCAAATACCAGTGGTTCACTGCACAGGTGCCTAGCCATGGGTGGACAGAGCCTGGAGTCCAGCCCAGGAGCCCCTGGGTCGCCAAGGGCTGAATCCTCCTGGACAGGCCCCTTTCTTAGGGCGATTGAGAGGTGGGTCAGCAGTGGGTTGGTCACCTGGATGAGAAGGTCCCCTTCCCTCTACTACCTCAGTCTCCACAATGTCCATCTGCCACAAACCAGCTGGCTGGGGTCCTTCTGGTGTAGACATGGGGTGGGGATGGGGGGGCAGGAGAAGCTCCTCCAGTTATTCTGGGCCCTTGGTGGCTATTTGTAATTCTAGTAAGTAGTGCAAGTGGCACTCTCTAGTGTAACAACCCTAGGTCAGGTGGAGGCTCTTTGACAGCTGGAGCTGCACTGGGCTGCCTGGAGGGATGGGGTTGGAGCCCAGGATGCTGACCACCTGAAGTGGGGTATGAGTTACTTCTCTTGCAGCCCAGTTCCAGTCAGCAGTATCAGCTCATGTAGTGACAAGCAAATGTAACAGCTTCAACTCTGGTCACTGTCACCACCACTGCCACTGCTCCTGTGCTGTTTACCATCATTGCAGGCCAATGGTCACTGATGTTAGTTCTGTTCTCACTGCTACAGGTGGGCTGTACTGATGCTGCTCCTGCTGACGTGCCATCCCATCATGGGAACCACTCTGCTGCCACTTTTGCCACAACTTCCTCTGCCACCAGGAGCCTGATCAGCTTCAATTGGCTAACGGTGCTTATGCTGAGAGCCACTATTGTCACAGGAGAGGCTCTGCTGCTAATTTCTGCCAGGATAGCCTCAGCTGCCCTCCTGGTTTCCTTGCGTCTCTGATGCTCCTTCTTTTCTTTTCTTTCTTTCTTTTTGGTGGGACTGGGATTTGAACCCATGGCCTCACACTTGCACTCTACAGCTTGAGCTATTACACCTCCACTCCATTTTGCTCTGGTTATTTTGGAGGTGGGGTCTTGCAAACTATTTGTCTGGGCTGGCCTCAAATGAACCAAAATCGTCGCCCCCCCCCCATCTCAACCTTCCAAGTAGCCTGGCTCCTTTTCTTCCTGTTACCAACTTGGTCTCTCTACTAATGACAAGAATCAAGTGTAGGCAAGGTAGAGCACTGGAGAGGTCTTTATTGCACCTGCTGCTGCCATACCAGGGCCAGGTCTCCAGGCTGCTCACAAAGCAAGCTGAACAGCCTGCTTATGTAGCCAGAGGGGAAGTGACAAGGATGTCTACACCAGTCATGGAAATCCCCTCATATAAATGAAGACCTGTGTTTACACAATTATGGCGCAGTCTCCATCACCAGTCATGGCATTCCTTATGCAAATGAAGGTCTGTGTTCATACTAGTCACAGCACAGTCTCCATCACTAGTAATGGCATTGAAGACTTGTATTTGTACCAGTCACAGGTCTTCTGCTGGGCCATCAGGAAGTGCTCCCCCTCTGGCCTGGGTGGAAATGGCCAGAGGGTTATCTAGAGCTTGCCAAGGCTTGTGGCAGCAAAAAAAAAAAAAAAAAGTCCAGTGTAAGCTGCTTGCTGGGCAGTTCCCTCTGGAACTGATTTGGTTTCAAAGTGCCCAGGGCTGATATGAAGGCAATATGGCCATCTGGCTGGGAGTCCTTTGCTCAAGGCAGCTGACCCCAGGAAAGGGTCTAGCAGCTGTCCACAAGCCCCCAACATCCCAGCACGTTTAAAGGAAAAATAAACTCTCAAAATGGGGCTTACAACAAAGGCTTATTATTAGCAGTGACTCAATAGTGTTTATCAGTGTTCTGTCCCAGTGCCCTAGGGAGAGGCGGGCTCCTACCACCTGTTTGGGCACACCTGATGAGAGGTGCACTGAGTGCTCTAACATCAGGGGATCTGTGGGGAAAAAGTGAGCTGGGGCTTGGTTTAAATTGCCTTAGTGAGTGCAGGAGGTGGTATTAACTTTAGGCAGTTGGGCAGGGAGCCCTTGAGCTTCATTTCCAGAAAGGAAGGGACCTGTGTAAGCAGCACTCAGGGGCATATGCTGTTTTTCTTCAGGTTAATATTCCACAAAGAGCAAAGAGCCCATATCTGACTGTAGGGAACAAAGGCAGGAATGGTCCCGAGAGCCACACAAAGAAAAAAGTAAGTTAGTCATATGCGATCCATGCACCCTAGCCACCACACAGCAGACCCCGATCGCACAAGAAGACTCCGGTTTCATTAGGATAAGTGCTCCCTTTGTTTTGGACACCTGGTACATCCAGTCATTCCTGCTGTTACACTGCTTTGACACTATCAGTTGGACCCAGAGATACTAAGTCTGGACAATTTAGTAAATTTGGGTCACTGTGTTGTGAATGTCTGTTTTTCTTGAGCAACCCTTTTATAAAAGGAGGGGTTTCATCAGATGCTTCTTTTGAGCTGGTATCCTGCCTTAAGATAAGTTTTTCTTTCTTTGCAACCAAGTCTCTTATCACAGGAGTCACTGGATCAGAGTCTTTCTTTCAGGTAATCCTTACTCAGTTCCCAGAGCATAGTGACCACAGTAACCGTGTGGGCCTGCAGGCCAGGGCAGAGGGAGAAAGCTGACTTTTTTACTGTAGGTTATAGCTCAGTGGAGGGGGTGGGGTGTTGGTGAAGCTTACAGCAAAGAAAGTAGTGCCTATGTGTTTTAAATCAGACTGTTACTAATATGAAGTTTAACTAGGAATTCCTGGCTCCTGCTTCCCATCCCTCCTTTCCCCTTATCTATCCTGCCTTGGACCCACTGTATATATATGGAAACCGAGACTCAGGCAGACACCTAAGGGCACCCTGAGTGTTGGAGGCAGAGCCAGAGTATCCAATCTGACCCCTTCCTGTCCCTGCTGTCTCTTCAGGGGGACTCGGGAAAGAGAAAAGTGAATTCTGCATCCACCCTTGGGGCTGGCCCTCCCACTGGGTTCAGCTATCCGCTGGCAGGAGCCAATGAGGGTCCAGAGGTCACTGAGAACAGAGGCAGGGTCCACCCACTGAACCGTGAATGGTCTGGTTACCCATTGCATACTGTATGCCAGGGGTGGGGACCTTAAAGTTTGGTGAGCCAGCCTGGAGGGTCTGGTGTCCTGGCCCCTCTGTGCTAGTCTTCCTCAAATCCTCTTGGATCACACTAAATTCGTGTGGCCTGGGGTGCTCTCCACTTTCCTGCCTTCCTCCTCCCTAGGGCCTCCTGGGGTTTGTGGGACCATGCCCCCATCAGGGCAACTGTTCCTTGGAGGGTAGCCTGAGGGGTGAGTGGAGGGTGAAGCTGGGCACCAAAGGCTCTTAAAAGCTTCCTGTAGGGGACACCCCTTTCTGGGGGCTGGGGTCTCTGCAGAGGGAGGAAAGAGGCCCATGCTGACGGTCTCTGGACCCTTCATTAGCAAGAGCCCTGGAGGGCAACCGACTGAGGCTCTAGGAGCTGGAGTAAATTGGCAAGGCTGTCCCCCTACAGGCAAGCCTGTCTGCCTCCCTCTCAGACCCTACTCTGCACTAACCAGGAGTCTCCAGGCCTGCTGTATGAGTCTGAAGCCTTCATCTTCATTCTGAAGGCTCACACAGGCTGCTGGGGTCCTATTGACTCATGCACGGCCCCTTGGGAAGAAAGGACCTGTTCAGCAAACCTGGCTGTTTTGGTGGGGACTGGGGACCAGGGCACTTCCTGCCAGGAGGTCTGAATCCCCAACTCTAGCGAGGGAAGGGTAGGGAATGCTTCACTTCCTTTGACTGGGGTCCAGCTTTCTCATATCTGTGGGTTTATAGACTAGAAGGGGGGCTAGGAGCCGATGCAGAAGCCCTCAGAAACAGCAGTCCCCCAGTCCAGGCAGAGTGTGTGTGTGTGTGTGTGTGTGTGTGTGTGTGTGTGCAAATGCGTGTCCAGGCACAGCAGAAAGGAAAATCTGGAAGCAGGCCTGCTGAGCTACACAATTTAGCCCCAGCAGGGAGAGTGGCCTCCCTGATTTTATCTCTTACCTATCCCTGACATGCTGTGTGACCTGGAGACAGTCAGGGGCCTCTCTGGGCCTCAGTTCCTAAGTGGGAAATGGTGGGGAGGTCCTTTTCCAGCCTGGAGCAACTATGAGGAGCAGAC